ATGGAGCCACCATACTGCTTCAGCATAGCTCGGTTGACTTCTACTGGTTCAGCATCCACTGCTGCGGAGCCACCAGGCAGCTCTGCCCTGTCCTTCAGAGAAGGGCCCTACTCCTGTGACACGGCTAACCATGTCATCCTTCCACCCTGCATGCTGGGAGTCCCTGAACTCCTGTGTGCATAAGACTGTCTCATGTGCTAGAAAGCTCTGAGGTTCTGACAAGTGACCTCTGACCCTGGATGGCCCAGAATAACTTTACTACCCTCTAAAAGGCTCCTGGTTCCCCAACTCGTTTGCCTTCCTCCCAGTAGAGCTCCAAGCACACAAATGGAGTTACTCAATGGAGGCTGATCTTCTCATCATGTGATGCACTTAGGACATTTCCATGTATGTCCATAGGTAGCCCCCTGTACCCCCCCCCCCCACGTATCCATCCATTTATTGCTGAGCAGCATGCCAATGGTATGGGGGCATAATCAAAGGACATCTTGGTCACTTCCAGCTTGGAGTGATTAGAGGAAAGGTGTTACTAATGTTCCCTTACAGGTTTTGGGTGGATGTAAGTTTTCAGACCTGTAGGGGCGCATGCCTTGGACAGTGATTGCTGAACCATCTTCAATCCTTTTCAAAACCTGCTTGCTGATAGCTGCCCTTAGGCCTGCAGCCAGTGGGACTATGGGAAACCTCTGGATACAGCAGCCTCTCTTCTTTCTGAACCCTCAGATGGCATCTTGGGAATCTAGAGTGTGTAACACACACACACACACACACACACACACACACACACACACACACACACACACACCCCAGACCTGCAGCAACAGAAGGAAGGTGAGACCCACCCAAGGGCCTTTCAGCTGGCCCTCCTCACCCATCCTGAGGCCTCCAGCCCTCCTTCCTCCACATTTTACTGAGCAGAAGGCTGCAGGCCCTGACTGTGTAGCTCCGCCCCCCCACAGCTGTGAGGTCCTCCAAGACAGGCCTGCTCTCATCCCAGAGCACTGACCTGGGAGCAGAGGCCTGCTCAGCTGACCCAGAGTAGTGACCTTCTCTCCTGGACAATTTCTAGTCTGAGCTGTGAGCTAACCATCCTTGTAAGGATGTCATCCCACTCTTCGGTAATAGTTCATGCTGTGTGACCCTCCTGAGCCTTCAGGACACAATAACCATGGCAGTTCTAACACTACCCACACATGGGAGGCTGGAGCCAGGAAACAACATTGTCTGCTTTCTCTGAGCTGGACTTGAGCCCCACACCTGGCTTCCAGACCCCCACTGCCCCCAAGACAAGCTGGACCACACACTGACAGCAGGAAGATAGGTGATACCACCAGCCAGCCGCCCCAGAGGACAAAGCTCCCTCATCTCTCAGCACGTAGGATGTTGGAGTGGCTTTGAAGTGTGGGTCTCAGAGGGCACACAGCATCAGTGGCACCACTGGTGGGTGACAGGGCCAGGAAGAAAGGAGCCTACGGTCTCAGGGATTCAGGCCTGTGATGCTTTCCTAACCTGGAGGAACAAGACTAATGCTCCCCCAGAACAGGACCTGGGCCTAAGAAATGTCAGATGGATAGATGGAAAGATGGTTGGACAGATGTGTGGATCACTGAGTGAACATATGGAAGCGTAGAAGGATAGATGGGTAGATGGTGCGTGAATGGTTGTATAAACAGGATAGATGGATCGGAAAGTGGCAGAAGAATGCATGAAATGAACGAAAGAAGGAAGAAAAGATAGGGAAGGAGATGGGGAGATGGGGATAAGGAGGGAGGGGAGGGGAGTGAGAGATAGAAGGAGGGATAGAAGGGAAAGGCAAGGGGGAGGGGAAAGAGGGGGAGGAATGGATAGAGAGGGGAGCTACTAAGCTTCTCCACAGTCCCCAAGCTTCCTCTCACTTGACCTCCTCAGGCAGCTCTGATCTGTCCTTAGATTGCCAAGACTCACTGTTCACCTTCAAGAGTGCCATGGTGCCTCATTTGCATGATCCTTCTCCTGGTAGGGAAGAGCAATGGTGCCCTTTCCTGGGACCTGGGCCCATAGCCCCTAATTTTCTCCAAGGGGGAATCTCAAAGCTGGTATCTGAGTCCAAACTGTCCCAACTCCAGTGCCAACTTCAGAGCTCTTCTTTACACCAGCAGAAGAGCAAGTGGTCCCTGAAGACCATCTCCCAGGTGACTAGGACCCCTGTTACCAGGGCCCTGGGCATGGGGGACCCTGTCCTTATCAGAGATAACAGGCCCATGGTGGGCCCTGCGGCCAATCAAGCATCGATGGTACGATGAGCCCAGCCTTGCACACAGTCCACTCACCAGAGCCCTGTTGAACATTGCAGAGGCTACACCCCTGCGCAGCCCTGCTCTCACCAGTATGGTGAACTGCCTCAGGACTGGCCAGCACCCAGAGTACTCTAATAATGGGGGTGGAGTGCATTTCGTTGCACAAGGCCCTGGGGGACCAGAGAACCCAGGAGAGAATCAGCCTTGTCCAGACATTTTTCCAGCAGGGGGCAGTGCCACCTCACATTTGGGAACTAGCTGTGAAGCTGTCGGTCCTGAGCCACCCATCAGATCCTCCACAGCCTGGGCTTCTAACCCACCTTGGCATAGGCTCCAGGCAACCTCTTTGCCCTCAGGGGCTCTCAAAGAACTGGCAAGCTGGGCTCTCAGCTGTGACCCTCAGAGCCTCTCCTGGCATTTCTCCAGGCCTCTGTATCAGATGACCATCCACTCCTTCATTCTAAACTGAAGTGATAGTCAGCCAGCATGCACTTCCCTCTGGGAATCACCACATGTCCCCTGACTCCCTTCTCTGCCTTGACCCCTACCTTCCCAACTTTCCTGACATGCATTAGCATTGCATGGCACTGCTGTCCTCAGGCCCTGGAGGACAGGGCTAGCCCCATTTGATCCAAGATGCCTCCTCCTCCTCCTCCTCCTCCCTCCTCCTCCTCCTCCTCCTCCTCCTCCTCCTCCTCCTCCTCCTCCACCCCTCTTTTTACCATTATTTCTTGCTGATGGGAAAGTCTGTTCTTTCCTGTCCCTCAGCTCCTGGTTCTAGGCATAGGACCCGAGAAAGAAAATGGGGGTTTGGTGATATCCCAGCCAAACATCATGTGTCCCCAGACCTGAGACCCTGCCCCCACCCTGGCCTCTCATGTTACACAGCCCTAGAGGCTGGCTCAGCCTGCCACTGCCTGATTCTGCTGCTGATAAACTTATCAAGCCCAGCATCTCTGGTCCAGAGGGACTGCCCTGAGCAAGCATTGCCATGGCAACCAGAGGCAGCAAGGAGGCCTTAGACCAGGTTGCCAAGTGATGCCGGCAGGCAGCCTGGGTCTGCTCGGCTGGTAGGGCATTCTGTAGTACTATGTCCCTGGAGGTGGTCAGTCCCATGTACCACCCCAGGGGAGACCGGAGCTAGGGCCAGCCCTGCCCGGCCTGGACTCACTTGCCTTAGTCCCCTCTAATCCCGTCACCTGTGGGTCACTATAAACCAGCACCAAGGGCCCCGAGAACCTTCCTTTCTGCATTTGTGTTTCCTTTCCTAGTTGTCACCTCGCTCCCTGCCCCAACCTGAAGTCTCTTGCAGGGTCCCTTGTCCTCTCTGAGGACAGGCTTCTGTGGACGGGTACAGACCAACAGAAAACTGACCCAGCTTCTAATCCGTGGCGAGGTCAGACCAGAGAGCCTAAGGAGGCTGAGACAAGTCCCCCACTTCTCTCAGAGGTGACCCTCTTTCCAGACCAAGGAACGGACCAGCATGATCCTTGGGCAAAAGAATGTATCAGAAGACCAGAGTGGCCGGGCGGTGGTGGCGCACGCCTTTAATCCCAGCACTCGGGAGGCAGAGCCAGGCGGATCTCTGTGAGTTCGAGGCCAGCCTGGGCTACCAAGTGAGTTCCAGGAAAGGCGCAAAGCTACACAGAGAAACCCTGTCTCGAAAAAAAAAAAAAAAAAGAAGACCAGAGTGGGCTGGCAGATAGGGCTATACTCACCCCAAGGCATCAGGCTGCCAGTTCAGTGATTCAGGGACCCTCCAGGTCCCTTACCTCTGAACTGCCAGAGGTTCACGTTGATCCTGGGGGAATGGTACTGGCTCTAACCAGAAGACCTGGCTCAGGACAAAGTCCCTCTAGTCAGCAGCACCTCTTAGTCAAGAGGGGGAAGTGCATCTTACAAGGTCTCACTGACAATTAGGGACTTGGGGGAGGCTATTTCAGGGGCAGCAGTTTTTTTTTTTTGCAGGTCTAAGGAAGTGGGAAGGTCCCAAATCCCAATGTGTTGGGCCCAGCTTCCCACTGCCCTCCACGGCCAAGCGGGGGAACATTCGGGGTGTTGCAGCACGCGTGAATGAAAGTACACATGTGATGGTGTGCTCCTAGGAAGGAACTTCAAGGAGCCTGGATCTGCAGGCCAACAGCCAGCAGCTAGAGACAGGTGTCCAACATCACAAGGCCCCTCAGGTCCTGCTCCAAGCCTATAGGTACCCAGTGCCTCCCAGGAGTAAACTTATCTGGACAGAGGGGCATGAGATGACAGGGCAGTGTCACCAAACTTGGGGGCAGATGCAGCCCAACCTGCAGACAGCACGGAGACAAAGGGCATTTATCACATGAGATGGCACAGATGGGGGACTGTTAACCTGTAATTAATTGGGCAGTTAGATGACATCATGTATCTGGGGCCCTCCGTGTGAACCTCCTGCCCACTCCAGCCAGCAGAGGTAGGTGCAGGAAGGCCAGGGCTGGGCAGGCATCAACACACGGTCCTTGCAGGTGTCCACAAGCTGGTGCTCATGGATTGGGAAGAGGGCTTTGTAGAGGCCTCTGGCAGGCCCCAGGTCCCAGGGGAGAGCATCATAGCAGAGCAGACATTGGAAGAGAAGAACCCATCCAGAGGGTGTAGGCAGAAAGTTGGGGAATGGAGCTGACCACATGCCCTCCCACTCGCTGCCCCACGTGTCTGCAACTCCCAAGAGAGGACACCCCAACACAGGACAGATGAGAACCGAATGGAGATATATTTTGAAACGCTCATATTTGTCTCTCCTCTCAATGTTTTTCTGTTTCTTTTCTACAATCCTGAGACTGCTGTTCATCAACCCCCAGCGTCTGCGCCACAATGTCCCAGAGAGCAGTTACGCAGGGAAGTCATTTCACAGTCAGGCGAGTTGCAGCGAGGCCGGCAGGCAGGCACCGAGGAGAGAGCAAGGTTGTTCAAATCGCCAAGAAGGGGAAGGAAACCCTGCTGGTTGTGGCCCTCCCTCCCATCAAAGGAAGTGTCTGTCTAGGCTGTTCTCACGATGTTCAGCCTCCTTGTAAGGGCCTCCTCTGCTATCTCAGCGTCCAGGTGTCCCAACGCTTCTCGACACTCAAAGCAGAAACAAAACAGGTCCCCCGCCATGCCATCCAGTTTACATGAGGGATAAAATTACATTTGTACAAAAATAGATTCATTTACCCTTCCCGGTGCGTTAAACATTCCTCCATCTTTACTCCCTGCGGACGCGGCATCCTCCCCACAGTGGCCGCACATCCCAGCTAAGGCATGGCTAGAGATCAGGGCACTCCAGCCCTGCAGCATCTGAAAATAGATGCATCCCCTGCCTCCAGAGTCACCAGAGCCTGACTGCCCCGACAGAAGGGGACCTCAGGTCCTTGCTCACAAGAAGCAAATGTACAGGAAAACAGGAAAGTCTTGATTTAAGAGAACATAAAACATCGGTAACTGTGCCGTATCTCCTGTCACTGGTGTGCAATTTCTGCAGTCTCTGTACAGCACATCCGTGTTCACAACACACCTGTGTGTGTGGGGACCAGGTCACAAGCCCCAATCCTGTGATGGTGACAGCAACTGATTAGTCACTGGTTGCCTGCTCCGGCCAGGTCTTCTGGGGTCCCAGGGGAGGGGGCTCAGGTGTCCCTTGGCATTGTCACCAAACAGCCTAGCCTAGTATCCTCGGGGATGCTGGAATTTGGAAAACTGAGGGTGTGGGGGCCAAATCCCCTCAGTGACTGCGGTTTCCGGGTGACACAGGCCAGAGCGGCCACCGGCTCTGTGCTCATACTGCCTGCAGAGCCATAGGAGGCCAAATGAATCTCCAAGCAGGGAGGTGACAGATGAGGACGATGGCCCAGAAGCAGCAGTATGGATATCATATGACCACCGGTGGCAGCTGTTATCCAACCAGGCTGAGGTGGGGATGGGTGCGGGGTGGCCAATGAGCTGACATTAGTGCTATCTTTAGAAAATTAAAGATTGTCCCACCAAAATAATAACAACAATAATAATTACAATCACCTTAATTGAGCCAGATTGGTAACACAACTAAAGGTCTAGTTAAATGAACCCAATTCTCTCCTTAGTGACATCACGTCCACACCTCCCCTGCAAACAAACAGCACTGTACACACCATGATGGTGACAATGAGGCTAAAGGAACAGGAAGCCTGCCAGGGAGTCTACGATGACAAGCAGTGGCAGGTAAGGCTATGTGGGCCAGCGGGGCTAGGGGCCATGGCCCCAAGTGCCTGAGAGCCAGCCAAGCCCAGACATGGCAGCATTCCAGAGTCAGCCCCAGGACTTTCTCCACCGGAGCCACTGACCATCCTCAGTGGCACAGAACACAGAGCACAGCGTATAACGAGGCCGGCATGAACAATGGGAGCAGTGGTCTGCAGAAGGCACGGTGCTAGGTGTGGACAGGGGAATCTATACCCCTCTGCCTGGTTCTGCCATTCCCCAAAGGCTGCATAGCGTTTCTAGGAAAGCCTAGGAGAAGGGGCAGCTGGCTGGTCCTGGGAACTGCAAGACCTCCGGTGCACATCTCTCAGGCCACCACATGGAGAGAGGGGGTACAGGGAAGATGTTTCTGGAATCTTTTACAGGCGCCTCAGCTGGCTATGGTTGGGGACTTTGAAAAGGTCCTTCCTCATAGAGCCTATGAAACTGGCTCCTCCCATCCATTACCTCCAGGCCCAACCCCCTAGATGGCTGGTTCCATGAGGGCCTTCCCCTTCCACCGCTCTGCACCAATGGGAGACCAGCTGTTGGGGAGGCAATGTGGTCATCCCCACTAAGGCACCTGCTCCTGACAAACCTGGGTTCCTGGGTCTCAGACTAGATCATGAAGACTGGGACCCAGAGAGGCTCTAGGCTGTTCAATTGGAGAGGCACACTCAGAGCCTGAGGTGAGCCACATGGACAGAGCAGAAGCCTAAGTCCACAGCCTGCCACCTGAGCAGGTGTGACAGAGCCCTTGGGTAAGATTCTGGACACTGTCCACAGACAACACCATACCAAGAGGAGTCCCAGAAAGGCCTATCAGCATTCCTAACACAAGTGGCCAGGCCAAGAAGGGGCCCATGCGAGAATTCCACTCAGAGCCTGGCATGTCAACTACACCAGGACACAGTCACCTTTCATGTCTGCACCCCCAAGTCCCTCTGGCCCTCTTTCAGGAAACTAGACTACAACACTCCTCCCTTCCCTGAGCCTCAGGATGCCCAGTGTCCTACAAGAGGCCAGCAAAAGGATAGATTGCCCACATGTTGCCCATAGGACCACTGAGTTGGAAACCCCATTCTACTTGAGCCAAGGGTAGCCCTCCAGGATGATCCTTGGCAGACCACAAAGGAAGATCTGGAATAGGGGAAAAGCCAGGCCACCACAGTCGGATAACCTGGGTTGATGAGACATATGGTGGGGGACAGTGAGACAAGAAGGAACTGGGCGGACACAACAGGGGACCTCCAGCCCATGTAGCCTTGAGGTGGTCCCAGAATCCTGCACAGTGGCTGTGGTGACATCTCAGGATATCTTTGGAAACAGGCTTTACAGGTTAGCTATGACCCAGGGGGGTAGGACCTGCCCCTACCTGTTCCTTCTTGACCCTAGGTGTCTTCCCACCCTACCTAGGTACTAGGACTCTGAACAGGCAAAGATGGGCCACTCCAAGCAGAGGTGCCACATGGGCATGTCGAGAACCAGCGACAGCAAACAGCAACTAGAACAAGACCTTCTCCCAGCTCTTGTGGCTCTAGGTGACAAAGATCCCCAGAAGCACCCCAAGCCCCTCAGGGTGACAGCAGGGTAGCCTAAGAGCATGTTGTGGGGAAGGGGGCTGGCTCGGTCTCAACCAGCTCTGGCCATGGCCCTGGGCCAAAGGCAAGCAGTAATAAAGATGACGAGGATGGTGATGCATCTTTTGAGACCACAGGACACTGCACCCCAAAGGTCCACGTGGGCCAGCAGAAAGGGCAGGGGCAGGGCTGGAGCTGAGCAGCTGTGTCCAGGCAGGGCGCAGGACCGGCGCACGGGTGGCAGGGGCCTAGGTGGTTTGATGCGGGGCCTCCAGCATCTCCATGAGGAAGGTGTCAATGGGCGTGTCCCCGATGAGCTTGAAGAAGAACAGGTGCTCCAGGCACTTGAGCCCGATGGAGCGCAGTGCAGGCAGGCGGAGCAGCAGCTTGGCGAACCTGCAGGGTGGTAGAGAATAAGGACTGGCAAGGAGACCTGGCGGTGCTTCCCCCTTCTAGTGACCTGTAGCTTCCCTAGAGACCAGCTGAGTCCAGTGGCCTGGGACCTGAATCGGGTCTGCCGAGGAAGCCGCCCGAGGTGACCCTTGGGGAAGAAGATGGAGTGAGGTACTAGAGAAAGGAGGCTCCTTCGAGACAAAAGAGCACAGGAGCAGGGGTGGGGGAGGGGGAGGTGCATCAAGATGCACGGGGCCCTGGAATGAAAGGAGCCAGTGGGAAGACTCCTGTTGGCCCGGACGGGCCTGACGGGGTTTGGGAGAGAGGTTACAAGTGTGGGCTTGCTCCATGGGCGATGGGGAGCCATAGCAAAAACGTAAACAGGCAAGAGCATGAATGGAATTGTGCACCAGAGGGGCCTCTGCAGGAACAGCTGTCTTCTGGAAGCAGTGGGGCCTTCTTCCTGGGAGGAGGCAACAGAAGGATCTGTGGGCAGCCTCACGGGGAACACGATGGTACTCCGTGGGTGACTGAAAAAGCCACAAGGTGGGGACCTCCAGTGGAGGTGGGACCAGTAGTGAGCTGGGGGATTCTCTGCTCCAGCAGGAATGCCAGCCTCCCACGAGCATCCCCAGCATGGTGTGCAGGTCCCATCCCCCACCCCCACCCCACCCCCGATTCTGATGGGCTCCTAGGCCCTGGGGAGGCCCTTGGGTCCCTCTACTCCTGGAGTATCTCCCAGGCAAAAGACGGATAGGTACGGGAAAGGAGTCTAACAGCTCATGGAAGATGGACATCCAGGCCAACTGGCCATTGCAGACAGGAGAGGACAGTGTGGGGTGGGGACAGGACCTGGGGTACCGCATGTGACCTCTGTGTCTGCTCGGGGGTCCCCCTATACACTGGAAGGGGCTCTGGGCCTCATTAATTATTAACCATGTCTTTCACTTCCAGGGAGGAAGCCTTGTGGCTGGCTGCCCCACCATCCTCAGTTTAAAGGCACAAGCATAACTTGGAGGCTGGAGGGGAGCCAGAGAACAGGCTGTTTTCTGCTGAGCTGGCGAGATGGGCTAAGGCAGGAAGCCAGGAAAAACAAGCCGTTGCCACCCTCCTGTCCTCCTCCGGGAAGTTTCACTTTAAACCAAACCAGATGAGGGCTAAGCAGCAGTGTGGACAGTTAACTATGTGTGTGCCAGGCATCAGGATGGGTTAGTGTGCCCGTCTGCCCAGTCTTCCCACCCCCTCACACCCAGTCTGCAGGCTGGGAGGCTGCAAGATGCCCTACAAGGGAAGGAGCAGAATGAAACATCAGACTGAATCCTGGGAACGCACCATTGCTCCTGGACACCTACTGTGTGCCTAGCACTAGACTGCACAGCCAGCACTGTGGACCTGACCATGACCGTAGTTGCCAGTCCGCTTTAGGCACACTGAGAAAAGGTGTGTTCCAGCTTCAGCCATCTCCTCTGCACAATCGTAAAGCACCTACATTGTGCCAGTATTTCCAGGCCTCTTAACAGGTTCATTTAATGGGTGAAGAACAGAAGGCTTTGTATTCATGAACAGTGACAAGCACCTACTCTGCACCAGGAATTAGACCAGTTCTCTCAATGGGGTACAGGGGAAGGTGTGTTGTCCTCAGAGCCTGTGAGCCAGAGGGTGGCCTAGCTCCTGCTCAGAGCCTACAAAGCATCCCAAGCTGGACTTGTGGAGGACTCCACTGTCTTGTGGCACACAAAGGGCTTCAGAAACGGGTGTTTGAACCCAGGGGTGGAGGCAGGGGCCTGTCTGGGGTGGAGAGGCGCAGCTCACCTGCCGGGCTGCTCCGGATACTTGTGTTTGCAATATGCCTCTAGTGATGCGTACACCTTCTCCCTCAGCGCCTCCACCTCGGCAGGGTTTGAAAGCCCCTTGGAGTCTGCGGAGAGAAGTGGCCTCAGGTCAGAGCCCCCAGGCTGTCTCCTAGCCACATGTAAATACAGCGGAGAGTATGTGGCACACAGCCAGGTATGGCTGCCCTGCAGACTCGCAGCTCACAGCCCAGGGGGGGTGGACACTTTGGAGTCATGCCTCTGCTCTGCCACTTGAAAGCCAAGTGACCTCAAACCAGTGCCTTGACTTTTAGGGACTCAGTTTCCCTATTTTTTTCCAGGTGGCCATGAGAGATAACCAATGTTTTCACTGCCCTCGGGCCCCACCCCACTGACAAGAAGAAAGCTGTAAGCCCATCACTGAACCACACCCCATAAGCAGATGCCCTGGAAGCCCCTCTTCAGAGCCTAGACACTGGCCACAATCCAGGCTGCAGAAATGCCACAGTCATCAACATCATCAGGGCACAGTGTTCCAGTGCAAATACTGAGGGTGGCCTGGGTCTGGGGACTCCTTGGACTTTGTCAGGTTCCTCCAATTGACCTAGCTCCTGACAAGTCAATTCTCTGCCCCACAGCCCCAGGCCTAGATCTTTCTGGTTCCCCATGCCTCCAGCCAGGCCACACAGACTTAACCTGGGATCTATGAGGCTGGAATTACAGCCTGGTGAGCTATCATGGGTAGAAGCCTGTGTCCCTGCCCTACACACCTTCTATCCACCATGGGCAGGGTGGATGAGCCCCATCTGCCAAGCCTTAGCCCATATACCACCCCCTCTCCAGCAGACAAGGATGAACTTTCAAACCCAAAAGCCCATGCATACCCTGCTGTACCAAGGGCCCCAGTCTCAGCAGCTCCCTCCCTAAGGTCTAGTCAGATCCACCCCCAACCCTGTAGGCCATCCCCTGAATTCCTGAATCTCTTCCCAAGGATCCCACATTCTCAGCTATACTATGCGTCCATCACCAGGTAGAGTGGCCACTGGTGGCATCTGTCACCACCCAGAGCTGTGAGCACAGGCCTGGCCTACTGCATGGCACCGCACAGAAGACACTGTCTCAGCTGTGACAGAAACAGCTTGGAGGCCTTGAGTACTGTGGCTCCAGAACCACAGAAAGGACTTACTGCACTTAGGCGGCTGCTCTGTCCCAAACACCCTGGAAGCCAAGGCTCGAGACAGTATTGGCTGCCCTAAGGACACCTAACAGGATGGACTGATCACCAGCCCCATCCTGGGAGCTCACTGTGACAGAAGATCACTGTGGATAGCAGAGCCCACAAGGCTCAGCCGGAGACCAGGAATGCCAAGTGAGTGCCACCTGAGCCTCTCAGTTAAGTCTCGAGAGAAGTGGAGGCACAGGATTGCTGTCGTGACAGGAACATGGGGCCCTGAAGGTCAAAGCATGAACTGGGAAGATGCGGGTGCCCTTGGTCACACAGGAGGCAGGAGGGCCATACCGGGGTTGAAGAGGACGATGGCACGCAGGCAGCCCAGCTCCGTCTTGTCCATCTGCATGTCACGCATCTTAGACACCAGCTCTGTTAGCACCCTGCAGGAAAAAGCGGGTGCCAAGGTCCACATTAGACACATCCTTACCAGGGCTCCACCAAGGGAGACCCACAGCACTCCTATGATGCCTGGCGTACACAAGGGTAGCTGGAGGCACTGGGCCGGTCAGGGCCATAGGAAAGAATCATCACCATGAGCCCATGGTTCTTTGGAGGGTGGGGTCCTCCATCACCCCAGGGCTGTCTGGGAATCTGAGCCCGGAGGAGGCACCCCAAGATTGCTGAGCCAAGAAGTGCTGTGACGAGATCTCCTGCTCTGTGGCCATCCATGGTCACCCTGCATTCACAGCTGTTTCCCTTAGCTTCAGGTTAGACTTTCCTCTGAGACAAACCCTCTTGGTAGGAGTCACTTCTCATCACCAGACACCACACAGCCTCCCCAGCAAGACGGGGACCCCCTCCCAAGGGCCTTCAAGTGTCCTTAGTCCACTCGACACACATGGAGTCTGGAGGGATCCTAGGCCCCAGTCCCATGTCAGCCACCCTGAGCAAGAGTCTCTCTGACCTCATAGCAAGGAGGAGCCCTGCCACCAAGGGTCAGACTCCACACTCCACGCACTTTGACTGAAGATGAGCTAGGACCTCTCCAACCACCACCTGGGATCCCCAGAAAATACAAGCTTAAGCCCCCAGCACCGTCACTCCAGTGCTAGCTGGGCATGTGGCTAGGGCTACATTTCCCAAAACCAGACTCAAGAGGGCGAAAGGCCCAATACCTTCTTCCCCTGTGGAACGGCCACAGAGGTAAGCTTGTCAAAGGCCCTAGGAAGGTCTGCAGCACAGAGGCTGGCACTGAGCTGAGGTTAGCAGCTGCCCCATATGTGGTCATAAACCTTTCAATACTAATACACTCTGTCTGTGTGTTCTAATCGGCCTTTTCCTGGCAAGAGCTCCGTCTGTGTACTATCCCCTCTGCCCCAAAGAACGCTAGTGGGTGGCTTTGCTCACCTCCAACTTCAGGGCTCTAAAGCTCAGGGTTCACCTGCCCCACCCCCACCCTTCTCACTCCTATGGGCTTGCTCATTCCTACTCACTGTCCTATGTCCCCTGTGTCATCCTCAGCTTCTAAACTTCAGCTGACAGAAATTGACATCCAGGTCCCCAAAACACTGAAGTCTGGCATGGGCCCTCAACTTGTACATAAGGGCTGGCCATCCAGACAAAAGGGCAAGCAGCCGTAGACCCTCACCGGGTGGGCATAAGCAAGATAGGCATTTCAGGAGAGACACTGGGTAGAGCCAGGTGGCCCTCGGACGTGGCTGCACTCCAGCCAGCCTGCTCCTTTGAGCGTGCTTCTGAGAAGCAGTTAAGGCACTTTCAGAGGCATGCATCCATATCCTCTGGGGGTGTGAGGGGCAGCAGATCTGAAACACCAGTCACTCAGTGATAGTTCAGGGCACAGTTCACCCTGGGGCTACAACAGCACCACTGCTTACGGCTGAGACGTGCCAAATGTTGACACTTATAAAACCGTACCGGCAGCATAATCTGTTTTTGTTAACCAGGTGCAGCTGTCCTTGCAGATACGCGGATCACAAAGAAGGAAGGCTGCCTGTGGCCTCAACTCCCCTGACACTGGACTCCACAGACGGCAGTCCCCATATGTCTGGCCTGCATTTTCCACACTAATGTCTTTCCTAAGCAGAGGCTGAAGATGGCCCAACTACTGAAGAGGGCACCCACCCCACCTACCTGTGGAATACAATGCATACTTAGCCAACTGGTCAAAGATGGTCCCCAACCCATCTACCCATCAAAGATGATGCTACACCACTCATATGATGAAGATGGCATCCACTCCACCTACTTATCAAAGACGGTACCTACCCTGCCCACCTATCAAAGACAGTGCCACCCACCCACCTGTCAAAGATGGCGCCCACCCCAGCACTGTGAGCACTGTTCCGATGTACGTGCAGGCCAGTGGCAAGGAGGATCCCGTCTTTCACAGCTATGGAGCGGTGGGAGAAGGAGGCAATAAGCAACTCGTTCCAGCCTGCGGGGAGAAGACATATGGTCACTCTGCTGCTTCCATGACCCCCATCACTGTCCTTTCCCCTCACCTCTGGAAGCAGCATGTTCCAGACCCATCTCTCTCCACACCCACGTCAAGGCTTCCAAAGTGAGACCCCAGTAAGTGTTACCTAGAGAAAGGCTCCCAAGCACCTACGTCTGAGCAATGCCTCTTCCTTCTACCCAGTACACGGGCAATGTGTCAGCCCCAAAAAGTCCTGTACCAGGCACACCCTCTAACAAATTCAGGGCATGGAAGCTTGTGTCTCAGAGGAGTTGGGAGAACTCCCAAAGACTTCCCTTGGGATGGAAAACTCCCAAAGACTTCCCTTGGGATGGCTATGAAATGACGCTGCCAGTCTGGGCCATGTGGAATGCCACAAGAGCTGAGTACTGAGAAGGAAAGTCACCTTGGAGCCATGTATCCCAGGCTCCAGTGCTGACCAGCCAGAGCTGTTGTGTAAAACACTACAAAGGGGCCTGGGGGAGAGAGATAAGGAGAAGACTCCACACAAACAGCCGGGACTCCTTGACAGGGCAGCACACGAGCCTTCTCAACACTAGCTTTTCCAGAAAGTGCCTGTGTCCTGAGATCCCAGGCCCCGCAGTTCCCATCTCATGTCTGCAAGCTGATATGGACACACTGACCCATTTTACAAGGGGGAAACTGAGGCAGTCAGCACTTGAGAGGGGGTGTGATAAGCCTCTCGCCAAAGGTTCAACCAACTTGGATCCTGGAGATCACTCCCAGAAACATGACCTCAGGAACCCCACAAGAGCACATGGGGCAAAGTCTGTCCATCTCATATCTAGGCATCTGAGTCCTACACTGACCAGGTCACCTGAGGCCCCAACCTAGGGCTGTCCCTTCTACGTGGGTTAGCATGCCTCAGTGGCTAGGGCAAAGACCTGGACAGTTGTGTCCCTGCTGGACAGAATGCTTCCCATAGCCTCAGAGGAGCCTGTGTTCACAAAGTGGGTCACACACCTCATCCCGAAGGGAACAGGCCCACCCAGGCAGAGGCAAACATGGCAGGATCCATATTGCTCATCTCAGCAACCCATGCCCACCAACAGATCTTTACAGGGGGAAGGCAGGAAGGTTGGGGCCTGTGTGAGCCTCACCCTAAGCAAGCAGCTTCCAAAACACTCCGTGATGTACAGGGACTCATCTATGGCTCATTTTATCTACTGGGGTGGGCTGAGAGCCCTTGGTACAAGCAGAAAAAAAAAATCAAAGCAGTTAGGGTGCTCAGGCCCCTCAAGACAGCATGGTCTCCAGGGCCCTTCACGAGAGGTGAGGCAGGTGTCAACTGTCACCACAGCTCTGCAGAGAGCAAGAGCCACAGACGCCATTCCAAACATATCCCCATCTCTCCACAGGCAGGAACCTGAGCTAAGGATCCTAACCTTGGCACCCCTACTGGTCACTTGGTGGAATCTAAGCAACAGTCACCAATGCCCCTTTAACAAATAAGGAAGAATCGGGACAGCCTGCACAGCTAGCCCCATCCCAAGTTCCAAGGCTACACACTCCTACCCGGCAGAGTCCCCTTTGCTGAGTATGAGAGACAATGCTTATGCTCCATACACTTGCATCAAGACCTCTGCTCAGAAAAGGACCTGCAGCTCCCAAGGTGGCAAGGCCGCAGAGGTGACACAGACCTGGTGGACTCTCAGCAGGAGTGATGCTCACCCCACCACTTGTGGCCTCCCCTTCCAGCCTCACCCGGCCTGGCCACTCACCCGCCCGTAGCAGGATGACCTGGTCGTCCAGAGGCAGCTCAGAGAAGTGCGGGATCCTCTTGGCCCACTCCACAAGAGTGAAGAGCTGCTTGTCTGCCGCTTGACAGATGTTGGTAACAGGGTCATTTGGCTAGAGTGGAGGAAGGACACCAATCAAGCCTCATGCCACTGGTATACTGAAAGAACAACCCTGCCTGCCCCCAAACACCCATGGGGCGGAGTCCCAGAATCCATAATCCACATCCCAACCCCTGGCATCTGAGACCTGGCACAATGAAAAGATTCTGAAGAAGAGACCCGATTATAATACCAGAGCTGGACTAGTAACATGCCAGAGGTCATCAGAGGTAGGGGGCTCAGAGCCTGAAGGGAAGAAAAGCAGATTAGGGGACATGGCTGACCAGAAGCTGGCAGGAGTCCAAGCCAGGGAGCTAGAGACCTCCAAATGCAGGAAAGGCAGGAAGAGTCAGTCCTGCCAATGCCCTAACTGGTCCCCACCAGGACAATACAGGGTCCCAGAGCTCAATGGCTGAAGATAACAGACTGTACCCCAGAAGCCACTGGGTTTGTGGCAATTTGTTGGAGCAGCCCATACCCCTGAAGAAGAGAAACAGATGTGGGAAAGGGACCGTGTGACAGGCAGGTGAGGGAGCTGAGGTAGGGCCAGACTCCATCTCTCAAGGTAACAGTAGCCCACCCAGGAGGGACGTTTTAACAGATGTGCAAGTGGAAGCTTGGGGCCAGTCCATGCTTGGTCCAGATTCCAAGTCACAGGCAGAGGAGGCATGTCACTAGAAGCCTTCCGAAAGTTCTGCCCAGAAGAGGAGAACCCAGTCCTTCTGGGTGAGGAGGCTCAGCTGGGCCTTACAGTAGGCTGGGAAGCCTATCCCAGTACCTGGCAGGTGGGCTATGGTCATGGCTCTCTGATCTCCAAAGTGTGGTAGGTAATAGTACCCAAGAACAGGGTACAGGATCCCTGGCTTTGAAAACAGAAGAGGCGAGCATCAGAAGAGAGAATCGCCTGCCTCTGAAGGGCTTCAGCTGACAGAAACCATCTGGTCGGCAGTGACGTTCAGTCTAAACACCCAGCCCCGTGTGAAGGGCCTGTAGAGGGCTCAGTGAAGGAAGGGCAATGACAAATCGGTTTCCCACTACTGGCCTGGCAGGACTGGCTGCAGAGGATGTCAGTACAGGATCCCCAGGACAGGGTCAAAAGGGATGGGAGACATCGCCCAGCCACACGACCCTCAGCAAACCTCAGAGGCCATAGTGCCCCAGGACGACAGGCACTAGGCACTCTGCTTAGCACTCAGGCTGTCCACAGCCTGGCTCTGTCTGTCAGCCACAGGCGGGTTGCTCCACGGGTGTCTTCTTTGCCTGCCACCTGCCAGGAAGCAGCCCCAAAGTGGGAGACAGAAAGTGCAGGGCCCTAGGCCAGCTGTGGGAACACATGGACCAGACGACGACAAGCCTCACACTCAAGCTCTGTGATCTCTGCCTTGCCCCAGGAAACAGTTCTCCGGCTGCCCTCTTGAATCCTAGATGTTCACAACGCCACTGGGAAAAGGAGCTCAAAGCTCTGCCTGGGTTGACTGTGCCATCTGTCAGGACTGGACACAAGACGGGAGCAAAGGACCAGAGAGGGAAGGAGGGAGGCACTACACAGGTGGGAGGGCCCAAGTGGAGCAGGAGCTGACTGGAGGGCTGCCTGGGAGGGGGGGGCTGGGTGGGCCCTGGCTCTGCCCTGTTCTACCCTACTGCATAGCTTCACTCCTTTGAGCTGACTCCACAGCAGACATTTAATGAGCTACTGCCTGCCAGGGAGGTGTGGTCACAAGACCACCCAGGCAGGGCCCAGAGGAGCCAGCAGCCCATCTGCGAGGCTTAGGTGCTGCCTATGCAGCCTCCTTAGATTGCGTCTATGTACGGATCAGCTCGAGGCCAGGCACAGGTGGCTAGGAGGACAGTGACCTTCCACTGTGTGGCTCTGAAGCCCTGAACCCTACGGGAGGAGGGCAAAGGCAATGTCAGAGGACATCACCAAAGACAGCCTTACTTGACAAAAGAAAACCGTAGTCACCCTTCCCAGCCCAGACAACCACCCCTCAGATCCCATTCCACAAGGCAGAGTCCTGAGGCTGCCCTCCCCTCCCTTCCAGGATTGGTAAGAGGACTTAGGGGCAGGACCCCAACCAGGATACTGGGCAGGTTCAAGTAGGCAATGTTTTCTGTGGTCTTCATGGGGGAGCTGTCATAACATAGCCATGGTTGGGTCCCCAAAAGAAGACTACCTGCAAGACCCTACACCTTCTCCCCAGTAAGGCAGCCCTGGGCCTTAGACACAAGAGAAGTGGGTAATGGGGGTTGGGGGGTGAGGCGGTGATCCTGTCACGGGGCCTCATAAGTACACAAGAGGGGATCTCCACTCACAGACTACAGAGGGAAGAGACATGTCTGAGCCCCTGGGATAGCTCAGACACCACCCCACTGACTCCTGGGATAGCCCACTATGGCACTGCCCTGTGCCCACCTCACAGCAACAGGCTAAGGCTAGGCACTAAGGAGCAAGAGAAGACCAACATAACCCCGACTGAGAGAAACTGATGGGGCCGTCCTTGAGGTCTACCTGGACTGGGCGTCTGGTCCCAGCCCAGAGGCCCACACAAAGGTCCAGGTAGAGTCTGGACACGGGGCAGACGGGCCAAGAGCTTGAGACAACGTGAGGCCTGTGGGTTTGTCCAAGGTTCTGTTCTTGGATTTACACAAGAAATACTCCAATCCGGGACATGGCTGCAGCCACCTCCTCACTGGGACCTTGGGCAAATGGAGTCTCCCACCCAAATGAGCCTATCTAGACCAATGGCCCTTGAAGTGATGGCAGGGGTCGGGGCAAGGAGGGCCAGGGGGAGGCGTTCAGGTGAGAGTCCAAGAACAGGCATGGAAGCCAGAAAGTTCTGGAACCGAGACCCTGTAGGCAGCCCAGGCAGGGAGCTAGTGGGAACCATGGCCCTTCTGGTTTTGTCGGAGGCCTGCAGCAGCTAAAGGTGGCAGATGGTACAGGAAGACTGGGGAAGGTGGCTGTTGAGGCCATGTCTACAGGTGGCCAGTTCCAGGGTGACCAGCTGGAGGGCCAAAAGACACTTCTGCTTCAACAGCCGTCATGGCAGCTGCCACCCATAAGCACCTCCCTGCTGGCTCCTCACAGCAGTAGGTAAGGACAGAGAGGCTCCGGGAAGTCATCCTGTGGCCACACACCGGTGAGAGAGCCAGCCCGGAGCCTAGCAGCTGCCAGAGAGCTTTCTGCCCAGGCTCAGCTCCCTACACCTTCCCTGAAGGGTTCCCTTGCCCTGAGGTCAAGCCTTACCACTTGGCACATGAGCCAAGACCTCACAGTGACAGCTGGCCCTGGCCCTGACCCTGCTGAGTATTTGGATGGGGCGGTCAAAGCAAGGCCAGCACCGCAGGTAGGGAGGGCCAGTATATCCAGGCAGAGTAAGGGTCGCCCAGCAGGACGGAAGTCCCACTGTCGGGGACAAGAGACCACAGCAGCCACAGGACTCTGGTTCACTGGCTGTTCAAGCAGAGGGTAAGCAAGTAAGCAACCAGGGGGAAACTAAGGCAGGCAGACATCTTGAGACTCACTGAGCTGGGGTTCAGGCCCATGTTTGCCTCCACGTATGTCTCAGTCTTGGGCTCAACAGCAAGCTCGGCTTCCAGAATCTTCTCCACGGGCATGTCCTCATTGGCACTGCTGGTGGACTCCACCTCATTCTCATTCCGGTCCTTGCCTCTCTGCCGCTCCTCCTGCACAGCTATATACAGGAGACAGTCACCTGGGCTAGCCAGGCCCTCAGTTCCTGGAACATCCCCCCATGTTCAGGGCCAGGTAGGGCTAGCTCCACAACCCTGGAGTCCTCTCCAGGGCCTGCTGAGGGAGACATACTCAAAGCCCAGCCCCATACCTGCCTGTGCCCAGCCACTGAGTGGCTGTACACCCTGAACGCACTCAGTATTTGTACCAGGAGCCCATCTGAGGTCAAGCAGATGGCCTTTCCTGGAGCTGATGGGTCACTAATGTGGGTGTGAAAGGCTTTGGTGGGCTGAGGATGTAGAGAAACCCAGGAAGGCTTCCTGGAAGAAGTGGGAATGGGCCTGAAGTGGGAAGGAAATTGAGGAAACTAATTCGGCAGAAGAAATAAAAAGGCCCAGAGGAGTGCAGGGCATGCTCCTGATGAGGAACAGGAAGTGATGACAGAGATGAACAGGTGACCACTGAAGTGATAAGCCAGAGCAAGGGACAATCACATACTGGGCAAGTGTGAAGGCATGCATCCACTGCTCCCACGCTCTTCATGCTGGGCTCTACCGACGGGAGAGGCATCCCAGCCTCACACAGCCCGCACAGCTTTGCCTCCCTCCTCCAAGATGCCACAGGCCTTGGGACCGCCCACCCTGCTTCACACTAACCACACACCAGACAAAGGCTCCCGGACAGCTGTGAGCAGACCAACTTTCGGGGATGGTGGGAGGCAGCATGGAAAGAAAGAAGTTTGGTGGCATGGGCGGCTGACTCCAACAGCTGCCTGGCCTGCAACACCTCTGGAGAACAGGTCCAGTGAAGAGGCTCAGGCAGGAGCTGAAGAGTGAGCTTTTCCTCTACCTCTAATGGTTCCCCTGGACCTGCTCTACTCTGTGCCCGCCCCTGTTCAGACACCAGCAGGATTCTAACCCCTCCTTCCATTCTGTGTTCCTGCAGCAGACTGGGTAGAGACCCGATTGTCTCTTCTGCAGAGTGATGCCTACGACAGTGCCTTTCTAAGGGCCCAAGGATGTGGCCCAGGGGATCTTTCCGGGGCTGCCATCTCAGGACCTTGGTCAGAGCTCATCCAAACCTGTCTCCTGTTCCCTGGGTGACAGAGCACAGGTTGGCAGCATCAGGATCTCAAGGGCAGGGCGGCAGCAGCCTCCTCCTCAACAGTCAGACCCCTACCTCCTGACCCCAGGCTCTCTGGCCCACAGCCCCCTTAAACGGCTTTGGAAATAAAACACAAGGGTCAACAGGAGGGATGAAGACGGAAGGGGTTCTCATACTGCAGGGGGCCTCTTGGCCCACCACCCGGGGAACAGCCTTCTCTCGTGCCCACCTCCCCTCACTCCTCCAGGGCTCCCACTGTAATGCTCAGCTCTGTGACAGTCCTGGGTGACCATTTTTTAATCCCCTGGCTACTGCTCCTTGCTGGGCCCACCAACACCATTCGGTTGAGGTTCAGACTGAACCAATACATAGCTCTCCCACGTTGGGGCCATGCTCCCCAAGACTCAGTGGCCTGGCTGTAGCACAGACTCTCTAGCCACGAAAGAGCCAAGGATGGGAGGCTGGGACGGTGTCTGCAGAACACACCAGCTGGGCCGAGGGGCTGGGCAGAGGCCGGTGTTTTGCAAGCTTGGCTCTTTTGGAAAATCTGACAGCAGGTCGGGGCTGGTGTAGAGTTGAGCACTACGGGCAGATGGCGTCCAGCCTATAGGGGCTGCAGAAGGTTGCCAGGCTCCATCCCTCCCCAGCTGGGCTTCTAGGGCCCTCCATGTGGCGGCCGCGCATCTGGGTTAGGGTCACTCCACAAGTCACAGAGGACTCTGGCACAGGGCCTGGAGAAATCAGCCCACCAATACTAAGCAGTCCACTGACAAATATCTGAACAGGCCAATCACAGCAGAGCCAGAGCCAGGCAGTCCACATCCCAAGGCCAGAAGACAGAACTCTTCAGACTTGGGCTAGGACAATGTCAACTCAACCACCTCCCCTTCCCAGATGGACGAACAGACTCAGAGAGCCAAGTACCACAGCAAACTATGGGCTCTAGAAGGAGGTGGTCTACCTCGAGCAGCTGGGATGCTTCGGGCAACTCCTTTAGCATCTCTGTACCCCACTTCCTGTAAAATGTCAACGCAGAGCTTGCCTTCCAGAAGACCCTAAAGGAAACACCTGAGCAGGCTGGCCCCACCCTGCTCGCCCAATTTCACTCCCCAGGAAGAGACTTCTTGCTCTCAGAGACAATCTTGGAATGTGGGAAGCCCAGAGGAAGGCAACCCAGAGTGCAGGCCTTCACAGCAGCCAGCTATCCCTGAGAGCTTGGCCCTGGGTGGGTGAGGGGCTCCTCACACCTGCCTCCTCCTGTGCGGGGGCAGCTGAGAATTAATTAGCAAATGTTTTGTGAAGCACTTTGAAGCCTCCAAGGGCCCCAGCAGCTCAGGGCGGCATCGTTATAAATATTATCGTTTTATTTATAGACAGCGGAGGGGGCAGAGGGAGCGGGGGATTTATGTTTTGCCAGCTCAATCACCTTTTAGACGCACTCATGTTTGACTTATGCTCCACTGGCGCCGGGAAGCCTCGGGCGGGAGGCGTCTGTAAATACAGAGCCTGGTTATCCTTCCAAGCCTGCGCAGGCCTTGCGGGGGAGGTGGCTGCCTCAGAGACTAAGGTTCCCTCGCCTGCCTGTGGTGCCTGCGGCCTGTGGTTCAGTCCTCCCAAGATCCAGAAGCAGGCTGAGCAGAGGATGACCTTCCTCCAGCACACCTGGGTCCACTCGTGGGACACGCAATCAGAGTGGGGTGTTTTGAGACTGCTCCGAAACTGGGCCCAAGTAGAACTGAGGGGCTTCAGGGGGGTATGGTGTTCAGGAACAAAGACCCTAATGCCTCCCCTGTTTGGGGGTCTGCCAGAAACTGAGACCTTTTCTGCCCCTCAACAGCCCAGGCTGGGCCTGAGACAGGCAGGATCAGGTTCTACCAACATGTACTGGCCCAACTGCCCCTTCTTAAGACAGGCAGTGGAGGTCCAGAGTGGGAGGCTTCTTCCCAGAGGCCACACAGTGCATCTAGGTCCTTGCAGCTCAGGGGACAGCCTTCCCTCCCTCAAGAACAAGTCTGGGACAAGTCACAAGAAAACTGAAGACATGGACGGCCATGCCTACATGCACAAACCCAGACAAAAGCACAAAAACACACTGTGGCCACCATGCTCCAACCCCACTATCAGCTGGACTTGAGCTGTCATGTGCTCTGTTCCACCAACAAGCCTCAGTCAGGGGGCCTTGCTGAATCTCCACAGTTCAGATGGGGACACTAGGCTCAGAGAGGCAAAGTCATAAACCTGGAGAAACAACTAAGCCAGGGCCATTTCCCTACAGCGGAAATGGTGGGCTCATCATTGTCTGTGCACATGCATGTGCACGCATGCGCGCACGCGCACACACACACACACACACACACACACGGAGCAGAAATTGCCATTTCCGTACGCAAGTGCTCCCGAGCCGGAGGACAGGGTGCAGGAAGCTAAGAGAGTCAGGAAGGAAACGCAAAGAGGCCTCAGGGGAAGGGAGCTGAGGATGGGGTGTGCAGTGTGCAGCCTCTCCAGCCTGCAGATCAACGCACCTGCAGGCCCCCCAGCCCTACCACCACCTGCCCCAGCCAGCAGGCCCAGGCTCAGCCTGTGAAGGGCACTGCCCACCCCCAGCTGGGGAATGCTGCCAAACAAGTCCCCGTGGCTGCTTGCACATGCAGGCCTCTGCTATTGCCCAACATAGATGCTATCAGCCTGCAGTATCCTTCATCAGCCTGAAGCCAGGGTGCCTCTCCCAGGGTAGGGCCACCCTACAGGGAAACATAGCTTTCTTGTGGTCAGCTCCTTCCTCACAGCACTTCTGCTCAAGCCTCAGTTTCCAGGGCTACGTGTGATGAAGCCTGGAAGAGGGAGATCTTGAGATTCAGACTCCAGAGCTTATTAGCCGCAGGGTGGGTACTTTGGGGGCTGAGCCAGCATTGGAGCCAATGGTGTACCTCCTGCATTGTCAGGGCCAAAGGCCCTGGGTTGGCAACCTGGCCTCACAGCTTCTCCAAAGACTGTCAGGCCATCCAGCTCATGCAGCCAACAGCCCCACCCACTACTCACAGAACTCTCCTCCTAGAGGTTAGCCCAGGAGAGCAGAGGGAATCGAATATGAGTTAGTTCTGGGGACTGGTCCAGACCCCAGAATGGAGAGGGGGGCAGCGTCTACTACCTAAATAAATGCAAGTAGAGGTAGGGACAGGCCCTTTGGGATCCTCCCAGAGATCCCTGAAGGGTAGGCTCTCGGGCTATTCTAGGACCAACCACCTCAACAGTGAGGCTCTGGGACTAAGGGCCACAAGCCCTGGGAAATACAACAGGTCTCAAGCGGCCAAGCCAAAGTCCCTTTCCCCCACTCACGACCAGCCATTGGGTGGCAGGCCTGAGGGCCTCCAGACATCTTAGAGCTGCTACACAGATACTCTGTGCAGTCCAAGGGGCCAAGTTCCACGGCTGCTGTGTCTGGAGCAAGAGAGAGCTTCACAGGGCTTGTACTACACACTTATGGCTCATAAATCCAGCTGGAACAAAGAGGCACAGGGTGCGGTTGGGGTGCATCTCTCCACAGGAGTGGGTAAAGCATTTCTCAGGGCTCAAAACCCTGCCACAGCGTGGCCCAAGGAACAAAGCAGACTGCAGGCCTCTGCACAGGTAAATGGACAGCCTGGAGTTCTCTCCTCTGCACCCCACTTCCTCTTCTGTGCAGGGTGGGCAACATTAGCCACAGGCATGGGGGGGGGGTGAGCATGTTATGTGCAGGGGCTGGACAGGCGGTGCTCAGTGACCCACCCACAGGAAGTACAGAGTAAGACCTAGACTGTTGACTCCAGACTCCCCATCTCAAGACTATACCACTCGATTGGGATTCGAAGGCACCACCCACAATGCCCACACCTCTAGAAGCCCAGGCAGCTGGTCTCTGAACCCTAAGCACCTAAGGGCAACTATGGGGGCAGTGGAAGAAGGGGTCACATGATCTGGAGGGTTAGAACTCTAGTGTCTGCCACATGCCAGGTCTGCTGACAGCCTTGGCTTTCACAGACACTACTCCCTTTAGCTGGCACACAGTACCTATCTGTCCATGCTCAGGTGTTAGTCTGGACACACCACTGCACAGAACCATGCTCAGCACCCAAGTCTGGGTCAGGTACCAGCTCCCAAGCTCTTGCTGACCAAAGCTAGGGACTTAAAGCCACCTGCTTATCTGGTGGTCAGTTTTAAGGGACAGGAGCTCATACCCAGAGCCTGTTACCAGGAACAACAGTACTGAGAGAGTAGGCTCGGGGCTAAGCTCAGCTCCTAAGAGGCTCACACAGGCCCACTTCTTCCTTCTGGCCAGGCACACACCTGGCCATGGCTCACCCTAGCTCTATCTACTCAAGCACCTGTCCCCTAGAGAATGTGCTGTATTGGCTATTCCCAATAAGTGCTCCCTGAGGGCATGTGGCACCCCAAGGACGGGACAGAGTATCCTACCCTTGGCAGGGCACTCCCTCCGACTGCGGGGGGGTGGGGGTGGGGGTGGAGTCAGAAGCTGGAGTCTAGCTCAGCTAGACAAATGTGTTAAGACTTGGCCCCTAATGGCCATGGAAATCTCCCAGCACAGTCAAGGTCAGACCTAAAAGACTCTATACTCTGTATGAAACACGTGCCCAGTCAAAATGCCCTGGCTAGGGATGTTCACACACACATTCCAGCCCCACAGCACACAGTTCTGTATGCTGCCCCATCACCAGCCCTGGAAATGAGGTGTGCAGGTACCCCCTGCAGCCCCTGCTGACCTCACAGCATGGAAGAACCCCACAGGAGCACAGGGCTTCTCATGAGCAAGAGGACCAGAACATATGGAAAGAAGGACAATGTGAAGAGAAAAGCAAACCCCAGCACACTCAGGCTGGTCCTGGACAGGGGCAATTAAAGAGCTGGTGAGAAGTGGAAGGACACACACTAGCCATTGGATTGGCCCCGTGCACAAGCCAGGCAGAGGAAGCTGAGGGGCAGTGCTGGAGACAGAGTGGTAGACCTTGCCTCAGAGAGTGTCCAGCCCTGTAAGGCCTGGGACTAGGACTGATGGAAGAACCTCACCCAGGTGTGAGTGCAAACACATACACACACACACACACACACACACACACACACACACACACACACACACACACACACACACACCTAACCAGAGAACTAGTGTTCCAAATGCAGGGCTAGGAGGAAACAACGTAGCTGGGAACCTAAGTGTCTAGCTATATACAACGTGACATCTGGGACCTCTGGGGGATCTCCTGGCTTGTTACGCAGCCTCCTTACCCCATACATACACATCTTGCTAATAAAACAGGCTGACAGTCCTGCTGCTCAGAGGGCCTGTGGGTTAACAGGTAACCCTGCCAGGATGAAACTGGAAGTGGCCTTGAGAAGAAGGGAAGCCCAAGATGACCCTCACATTCAACAGGCTCTGGGAATATTTTAGTGGTCTCTCGAGGCCCCCTCCGCCACTCCAACCCAAATGTGCCTCAAACCATAGGCCTACCCGATCATCCCTCACTGGGCAGATGGAGAGATGGGCAGCCAGAGACTGTGGACACTCTCTCTCTCTCTCTCTCTCTCTCTCTCTCTCTCTCTCTCTCTCTCTCTCTCTCTCTCGCCCACCTTCCTCACCCCCATGTCTACCTCCAGCCTCCTCTGCCGTGCGTGCTTCCAGCCTAGTGCTTGGTCTCCATGGACCATCTCCCCAGCCGTGTGCTGGCTCAGTCCTGCCATACCTCAAGAGGGGACTGTCTGCTCAGCTCTTGTCCTTGGGGTCAAGTCAGCAGCGGGATGGTCCCGGTCTATCTTGTCTATTGTAAAACCCCAAGGCCTAGGCACACAGCAAGCACTCAGTGAAAACCTGGTTGGGGGAGGGGCTGGCATGAAGGCAGTCCCTTGACAGGCAAGTTATAAGGACAGCTGTCTGAACAGCACAGGCTAGGGGCTGCGCTGAGCACTGAAGGGAGGGAGCACCCCATCACTGAAGGCATACAAAGGAATCCGCCAGGCTATACCCGAGTCTGGCAAACTGCAAAATTCAGGCCTGGACTCTGCTCAGATCCCTCCACGCCGAAAGCGCTGGGGAAGGGAACGATGGAGGCCTCCTGGGTCTGAGAAGAAGAGCATGCTGGGCAGGAGGCCGGCACCCGAGGCCTACCTTCCCGCTTCATGCCCATGGCCAGGCACTTCTGATAGCGGCAGTACTGACACCGGTTCCTCTGCCTCTTGTCGATCAGGCAGTCCTTGTTGTCTCGGCAGGTGTAGGTCAGGTCTTTGCGGACTGTCCTCTTGAAGAAGCCCTTGCAGCCCTCGCAGCTGTAAACCCCATAGTGCTTGCCTGTAGGGTGTGGAGAGAGGGGTGGGTGAGCTGGATTGACAGGACCCTCACCCATGTCGTGCTGCAGGCCAGGGCTCTGCCTTCAGGTTTCAGGACCCCTGTCTGGGCTCAGGCTGGACCCTGCCTGCTCCCTGCTCATCAGAGACCAGGTCCACCTCTCTATCTGCCATGGCTCTGGGTCACCACCCCGAGGACCAGCATCACCAACACTGCTGCTCTTGTACCCTGGAAGAGGATGGGCGCTGTTCTTGGCTCTCAGGCTCCTGGGGTTCAGTAGCACAATGCAGGGGGGCCCTTCAACAGGCTTAGCCCAGAGAGGAAGCTAGCTCTCAGTGCACCTCAGCCATGCATGCCTGCATCTTCTCTTGGCATGCCTCCAAGCCGCCCTTCCCATCCTGGTGTCCACCTTACCTGTGGACAAAGCGAGGCCCCTGCCTGGAACTCTCAGCCCACCCCTTGCTCTACAGGGCACAGGAGGCACCCCTGGGCTCCTGCCTCCCTGTACCCAGCTCAATGGAAAAAGCTAGGGAGGCCCTGTGAGCTTTGTCTAGGTATCGTGCTCCTGCCCACCAGGCAGTCCTACCTGAGGAGCGGTCCCCACAGATAGCACAGATGTGCTTGGTGAAGGATGCCATATTTCCTGAGGGATGGGCAGGAACCTTGAGGACGCCATTGAGGCCCAATGGGGGCTTGATGTCCTCACTGCTGCTCACGGGGTTCATGGGTGAGTTGAGCTACAAGAGGATAGTCAGGATAGTCAGGATAGATAGTCAGGATAGATCAGCCTTGCAAGGCTGGTGATGGGCATTAATGAGTGCTGGGCTTCCTACAGCTCCCCTCTATACAGCCTCACTCAGGCCACATGGCTAAGGGACAGCAGGACCACCCTCTTTAGAACAGCCCTCAGAGTACGTACCCCTCCCAGCAAACCCAGGCCACTGCAGGGTACCAGAGACCTCACATAGCCGGGGATCTCATGTCTCTCAGTACCACACAGGAGGCCCACTTACACTCCACCACCCACCTAGGAGCTACCACTGTCACTTAACACCTGCCAGGGGCCCTGGACACATGAGAGCGCAGGTGCTCTGGGCTCCCCCACCACCCAGGCTCAGGGAGGAGATTGGACTGGGCCCCTCCAGAGTCACACATATCCCCACCACCCTGCATGGCAGTGGAATCTGGGGCAGGACAAGAGAGGAGAGCAAGTGGACATTCCAGACATCGAGCCAAAGGGCCAATACGGCCATCTTGGCCTCGGCACACCCCCTGCCTCTCCCCGCCCGCTGGCCACCAGGGGTAAGCGTGGGAAACTCACCCTGTCACCCAGGCAACAGCTGCAGCGTCGCAATGACACAGCAGTTTTGGTTCCGCAGCCTCCAGCCCAGCTCTGCAGTAAGCACAGGGCCCAGAGGCGCTTCCCTCTGCCTGCCTATCTGCCAGGGCGCCAGAGCCCAGCTGGGCAGTCCCCCCCCACTTCTGAAAACCCCTGACAAAGGCAAAAAGCCAGCTGTACAGCTGCACTGCCCTTGCATAGCCCCTGCTGCCCCCTGCAAGGGGAACCTCACCTCCTTCCTCAGGGCCTCCGGCCCCATCCCCCTCTTTCTCACGGGACAGGAGCAGCGCGGAAGCACCGGCCAGAAGCTTTCTATCAGGGGGCCTGGCACTCAGAATGATTCTGCAGCCCTCGCCGGCCAGGGCTGTGAGACAGACAATGAGGCTCTGCAAGGATACCTCACTCTGGCCAGCTTTAGGTGGGCTGCTGGGAAGCCTGGAGGTCCACACAGAACCCTGAGTGTGTCAGGGGGTTGTCAAACGTGGGAGTCCTTGGTGGCAGGTAGGACATCTCGCTGCAGAAGAGAGCAGTTCATATGCTAACTGGCTGAAGGCCCTATGTAGGAATCCTGGGGTAGCAGCGGGGAGACACCACTGGCTTCTGCTGGCAAGACTGCATACACCCTCCACCCTGCTCACTATACAGGAAGCCTAACCCTGAGGGTCCTGGAGGTCTTAGCTCTGGGCAGCATACACAGCTCAGAGTCCGGGGACGCCCTGATGTCATGGCAGAGCCAAGGCTGGGCTCTAGCACCCAACGTCACCACAGGTCCACAGACACCCACAAGGATGCTCAGGGCTCCACTAGCCTGGAATCCTAAGGCTTTTTTGCCCTTCCCAGATCTGAGCTGATGGACCAGGGCCGTTTCTATTCTCCCCTTCCTCAACCTCCTCCATGGACTATAACCCCCACCCCCAGGGACTTCTGTGCTCCCTACCCACCTCTCAAGAGACCCAGGACTGGACAGCCCTCTGCTGGAGCCCATAGCCTCCCTGGGTGGGGCCATCCCATTTCCCCTTTCATATCCTTGGCATTTATTTCAGTTCTGCCAAATTGGTGCCCCACCTGTGTCCCTGCCTACCTCTCAGGCATCCTCTCTTCCACCCCGACCTCATCCTGTCCAGGCCTAGGCGAGCCCTCCACTAGCCCCCCTGAGATGGGCTCTCCGGAGCAGACCTTGGGCCTCCATCTCAGGCTCTGTATGCTCCCCACAGCTTCATTCACCATCTGGCTGGCTGCAGGCATCATGAAACATCGTGCTTACAAAGTCACTGTGGCCCCCACATGGGAGATCCTCCCGGACACCAGGAGGATCAGAGGCCTCAATGCCTTACCAGCTCTGCATTGGGGCACTCAGAAGTGCTTCCCAATTGTGAATCACCCAGGGAGGCCAGCATGGCCAGACAGGCAGGCTTGGGAAGTAGTAGGGAACATCCCCTGGGGCCCTGCCCTACTAGAGCCCCAAGACCAAATGAGACACATGGACGGCTTGGGCACCAGGTGGCCATGGCCTGACATAGCTATATCCAGACCCAGTGAGGCACCTCATGGAGCTAAGAGCCAAGAGATGCCAACACTGGAGCCAGGGAACTGCAGAGATCAGTTCTTCATCTACCCTCTCTGCCCGTGGCAGCCAGAGCTAGCAAGGGGATAGAGAAGCTACGATAAAAATAACAGGGCCAGGCCAGGGGAGGTAGCTGGGTGGGTGGGCCTGCTTCATACCAGCAGCACCTCAAGCCTTCTGCCTGCTTCTGGAAAGCAAGGTGAGGAGTGGGAAGCAGGACAACAGACTGTCCATGAACAGGAACCCCAGCTCTTCTACACACATAGGCGCTGTGGGAGCGTGCACATGTACACACACACACACACACACACACACAGTCTGGGGCAAAGGGGCTTAGATAGGATCAGCCTAGAAAAACCAGCCAGATTGTCTGGAGCAGAGGCTTAAGAGGCTCAGGCCAGTCCCAACAGGCTACCTGGTCAGGCAGTGGTCTCCAGCATACCTAGCACCAGGAAGGGTGCACAGGAGATGGCATGATTTAAGGCACAGGCTGTGGGAACTTAAGTGGCACATAGGTGCCGTTAGCCCTGTGGTTCTAGGAAGGAGTCCCAGGTGTGCCACTGTGAGGTAGCACACCAAAGCTATTCGAGGGGAGATAAAACCCAAACTGAGAAACTCAGACCTGTTTCAGGAAAGGTTGAAGGAATCCCAAAGAGCAGGCTCTCCAGATGCACAGCTGTATATACACCAGAGACAGAAATCCCGGTAGAAACACACCAAAACCCTCAAGGAAGTAGAAGCAGAGCAGAGCTCTATCCAACAGGTATTCACAGCCTTGGGAAGAAGAGGCTGAACAAGGACCCCAGGGTACCACAGCAGGATGAGGGCCCTACTAGGCCCACAGAAAAGGAAGTCAAGCCTTGCGGATAGCCAACATCCACAAAGCCACTGAAAGCCAGAGCCCAGGCACAGGCTGCCACCAGGGGCCTCTGGGGCACCCAAGAATCAGCATCCCTGGGCCAGGATGTGCTTTCCTGTAGGCCCAGAGACACTAAGCCTAATGGCCTGGGTAGAGGAACCTATGAGACCTCAGGGATCCCTGGAAGACGGGCCTAAGCCTGAGAAAGCAGGTACCCCAGAGTTCCACAATCGTGGGGACAGGATCCAGTGGGAGATGAAGACCAACTGTAAGAAATTTCAATTGACAGAGCTACAGAGGCCAGTTGGGTCAGACAGGGTGAGTCTTAGCCCACTCACCACCAGCATGATGATGCTCTGAGGCTTGCTCTGCGGTCCACTTTCATAAAGAAAAGTCAAAATGACAGCTCTGACCCACAGGTTCACAGCCAACAGATCAAGTTCCCACTTGCTGTCCCATCTCCCCCAAAGCTCAGCCCAGCACTCACCTGGGGGCTACCAGTCCCGAAGCCCAGGGTGGGTGTGGTGGGTACCGACATGGAGTGCGGGCCCATAGGGGAGCTGATGACAGAGAAGGGTGGACCCATGCCATTGATGGGAGAGCTCAGGGTGCTGATAGGTGAGTGCAGCTGCCCAGGGGAGCCCAGTGGAGAGCCAATTCCTGGACCCAGGGACGGGTGCAGCGAGGGTGCAGCCATGGAGCCTCGACCCGTTGGAGAGCTGAGGGATGAAGAGTTCACCTGGGTGGAGAAGTCTGCAAGACAAGAATTGGCAAGGAGGAGGGTCAGAGCAGTCTCTAGGACCTGACAACTGCCTACTCCCACTCGCTCAAGCCACAGGCAACCCCTTGTGCTCAAGGTCAAGCCAGGGTGTCAGGACTTCTCTGCCATACTGCAAGAGCTAGACCATCTTTGGAGGCCCCCAGTAGGTACCATTGTTATCTTACACTCTCTGGGGTTCTCACAGCTACCTATGCAGAACCAGGCCCAGCACTGCAAGCTCTGACGTCTGTGACCCTACCCTCTAGGCCATATGACCTGGACTTGTGGGTACCACAGCAGGACAGCCCAGACTCCAGAGGAAGGGAAGGCACTAGCACTTCCCATGTGGGTGAGGAGCTTCCAGGTGGCCTTGTGGAGGGTCTGGGGGTATGCCAAGCATGAGACTGGCAACCCACAGAGCAGGGCTGGGTCTGGGACCTCCCACATGCCAACCTTTCATGCAGGGTTTCAAACATGAGAAAAATCTTAATCAGGCCTCCCCCACTCTAGAGGCTGGGGAGGTTCCCAGGTGTCCAATCTATTGCCCACAGACTTGGCAGGCCATGAAGAAGGCAGTGAGGAGCCTGCACAGGGCAGAGATGCATGCCATGTTGGGAGCTGCCTGCCCCTCCAAGGCGGATGCTCTGAGAAAGCCCCCCACACCCTCCCTTCCCTCCCTTCCCTCCCTCCCTCCTCTCCTCTCATTTGTAGAACAGTCCCGACCTTCCCTGCCACCTCACTGCCACGGCACTTGCTTCTCTAATAAGTCAAGAAGAACTGCGGACATGTGAAGTGAGTGACTAGCACATCCCAGGTAGGGGATACAGGCTGGTTGCACTCCTCGGCACCCTGGAAAGACCTCGCCATTCTGAACCTCACTCATCCTGGCCATGTCTTGGCATGTGAGCTAAGCAGACACTGGAGGATACCAGTCTTAAGACAACACTGGCACTCTGGATATGACTCTTAGACCAGACTTGACTCTGGCCAAAGCCCATGCTCCCATTCTGAACCTGATGACTAGCACAGTAAGGGTGATCCCAGTAGCTGTACCAATGCCAATTCCAAGCCAGGAGTGGTACAGAGGCCTTGCCAGCAGGACCAGCCCTTCAGAGAGAAGTCTAACCTATATCCATCCCAAAGACTCCAGGGACTTCTTCCCTGCTTCCCCTCAAGAGGAGGATGCAGTAAGAAGGCCCCACTGTGACCAGGTCCACTATGGGGAGGCAATCTGGCTACCATGACTACCCCAACTGACAAAAGGGACCAATTCCATCAGCAAATGACCAGCCAGAAACTCTTGTCATTCACAAAACTGGGAACAAACCAGCTCGTTGAACTAAAAAAAAAAAAAGCAAATTTAAGAAATCCAGAACTAGCTGTGTAGGGTGGTAATATGTCTTTAATCCCAGCACTAGGGAGGCATAGGCAGGAAGACCTCTGTGAGTTCGAGACAAGCCTGATCTACAAAGTGAGACCCTGTCTCAAAAACAAAAGGCTACAGAGATGGCTCAGTGTTAAGAGCACTTGCTGCTCTTCTAGAGAACAAGGGTTTGGTTCCCAGCACCCACATGGTGGCTTGCAACTGTCTGTAACTCCAGTTCCAGGGAATCTGATGCCTTCTACTGGCCTCCATGGGGACTGCATGATAGTACACACTTACACACACACAGGTAAAACACCCAGAACACAAAAAGTAAAAATAAAGGAAAAAACCTAATCCCAGAACCAGGAGGCAGTAGCATCTACTGACAAGATGGGAACTATGGACCGGCTCTATAGACCATTCAACTCCGTATGGAATGGGGAGGAGCTCCACGAGGAAGGGAGGCAGCCAAGCAGGAGAATGTGTCTAAAAGGAACAAATACAAAATCTAATTGCTTACACGAGCCTGGAATGCCTTTGTTCCTTTGACGTCAATTGAATCCTTGTGACCCTGTCAGAAAAGCCACCACCTCCTACCTATGACAGAAGAAGAACCTAAAAAGGTTCGTGGATAAGAACTGCCCAAAGGTAAACGTACTACAATCTGCAGCTGCCCCTAGGCCAGGCCACCATGACCATTTCCACACGCTGGGATACCTGGAGGCCACTGGGCTGGCCCATCACAGCCCGGCCTCTCCTCCCCTCCTCCAGATGAGGAAAGCAGGGCCAGCTCTCCCCTTCCCTGCCTGTTTTGTCTTCTGAGGTCCCTGGACTGTGAGACCTGCATACCACCAGGCTAAGCTCTCATTGGACCCCCTTTTAGCCCATTTGAGAGCTCCATCTTGCTGACTTTGAGCACAGCTACTTTCTGCAGACATCCCAGAGAAGACTGGATAATGCTGTGGGTACCCAGGGGGAGCTGGGCTGGACTAGGGAAGGCCCGCTTTTCCTGGCCTTTGAGAACAAGATGAGTGCATGACCAGAAGAGAAATCCCTCAGACTCCTCAAGGCTCTTTGCACCCCCTGTTCATGGGGAGGCCTTGGGCAACAGGTGTGATGAGGTCTGGGGCAGCTTGTCACACTACCCTGAGGGTGGCTCTTATGAGCCAGTTGTCCCCAGACACCAGGAAAAACTGGCCATGTTCACATGAGAGTGTTTCTGCCCAGGGGAGCCAAGGAGTGATCCTCGCAGCCACAGGGAACAGCTGGGGTGGGAGGCTCAGGCTACAACCAGAACCAGGTCTCTGTAAAATGCCATAGCCTGAGCTGCTCCTCTGGCTGTGGGTTTTGTTATGGGAGCAGCAGGAGAAAGCTTCAGCAGGAAGGCGAGAATGAAGGAAGGAGGGAGAGGGAGGCAGGCTGTAAGGCTGCCGGGCATCGGCTGTACCCCGAAGCTCCTCTGGCCCTTCAAGGTACCACCCATACCTGGCTCATGTTGGACACTGCCAAGGAGGCGAGCCACACCAATGGAGGAGAAAACCGGCCAAGGTGGCATATGGATAGACTTCAGGAAGAAGAGGAGACAAGTGCGAGCAAGAGCCAAGTCTCCAGTCTGGGAATGTGGCTGTCCCTGTGTGAAGGTTCCCTTAGGCACCCCTCCCCCCGCCCTTCCCCAGCCTGCAGGCTGATGGTCCCTGGCCACGAGTCCTGTCCTATAGTTGCTCCAAGCAGACCGTAAGTCCCTAGAGCTCCAGTGTGGAGGGGGCCGCCACCAGAGCAATGCCTACCTTGGCAGGTCCCCACTGCCCCAGGCCCCCACCCCAGGGCTTCCTGTTTACAAAGAATGTCCACTGTAGACACCTTCCCGGAGCCTGGGTGACAATGGACTGGGTGTGTTTTCTGGATCCTTCTGGAGGGAGAAACTTTCTAACCAGGAAGAGAATGAGCAAGAAACGCCCGCTCATCCTTGTATGTGTGCAAGCCATGTGCACATATGCCATGTATGTGTATATATGTTCGTGTGTGCTATGTGCGTGCTCTGCCTTGTCTGACACTTAGCGGTCACCACCCCGTTTAGCCATGGCCCCCATAAGGCACAATTCCGACAGCCTCCCTTTGGACTTGCAGGGATATTAGCACGGGTCAACTCCACTGCTTAGGAAAATCTCCACACCCCTCCAGCACCAAGGCTTGTGAGATGGGGTCTAGGGCTACAATATGTCCACTTCAGACCTGGGGATTACAGTACTTTCTGCCCATGAAGTCACAGAGAAGCCTTAGGAACATGACTGAGAGGAAGCTGAATCACAGAACCCCAAAACCTCAGATTCTGAGGCGCAAGGATCCCATACATAATCCCACATCCCAAGATACCTCTGCAGGACTACTACCAACACAGCCAGGGACCCTGGGGAAGGAGTGTAGCCAGGGGGCCCACATGTGCCTCAAGGACAGACAGAGTAGACAGGCTATCTTTGCAGGGAGGCTGCCCATCATCTCACACACATCCCGGGCAGCTGGCACTGCAATCCAGGAAGGGGCTGGGAAGAGGGAGCACAGAGCACTCCCCTGGTACACAACTGACCACAGTGTGAATGCTGGGAGGTTAAACAGCAAACCAACACAGAGCAGAGATGGACTATCCCCAGCCCAGAACCCAGGGCAGTTCCCTAGACCTCAGAATACTGAATGCCTGGCAACAGCTCTGGTGACTCCAAGACGCCGGGCACTAGTGAGGTCATATGCAAACTTTGAGGAGTACCACTCCCACCAGAGTTTCTATACCATACAGTGTCTGCAGGGTGCCTGCCAGCAGCAGGACCCCACAGCAGGAAGCCCAGGGAACCCCTCACCAACTCCCTTCCAGCCCCTGATTGGCAGGCAGGGTGCAGGAAATGCCAGCTCACTGCAGCTGGGGTGGGGTGAGCCCTACAGCCCCCCCCCAAGGTAGCCAGGGAACCCCAGCTCCTGGAGAGGGGAACTCAATCATCCACAGCCCTTTGGCACAGCAGGATCTAAGCAGGCCATGCGTCTGGGTAAACAGAAGTGGACCATGTGGTTGCTCCATCTAGAGCCGGGAAGGGAGGGCAGATGGGTCCAAAGGAGAGCATATGGGAAATGCATACTCTGGGGCCACCAAGGAGGGGCCTGAGGAGGATAGCCAGCATGCAGCCAACGTGCAGCCACACAGTGAACTAGCACCAGGACGGCTGTCACGTTCTAAGCACAGTGCCCTTGTCTCCGCCTGGGGACACCCCCCCGGAACTGAAACTTTGCAGTGGGTAGCTCATGGGTCCTCAGAGCTTCCTGGGCTGCCCACCTCCAGCCTCCACCTTCCGGAAGTACTACTTCCCTTGAAGCCCTGAGAGGAAGAAGTGGTGGCCCTGGAGGACAGCAATGGGAATGTGGCAGGGACCATGGCGCCAGGGTTTGAGGCAGGCCAAGGGTGGTCAGAGCAGGAGGGAGAAGGAAGGCAGCCACAGGCCCCAAAGGGTGGGAGGGGGCGGCTTCAGGCACTGGTAGGACAGGAAGATAAATGTCCCACTGGCCAATGCTAACCATGGTGAGAAAGGGCCCACACTTGAGGCCACAGGGACCCCTCAGTATTGTTGAATCTCAGTTCCTTTC